CCCCAAAACCCCAAAACCCCAAAACCCCAAAACCCCAAAACCCCATCTTTTCTAAATATTATTGAAAATGAGGAATAATATCTCTTTATCAAGGTTAATTAAAATTTCATTATCTCAAATCTTTAAATAGACTATAAAACCCATAAAATAACTTCATCTGAAGTTTCAGTATAAAATCATTACAAAATTATCTTGATTTAAAGCTATACTTCTCTTTGAACTTCTTCACTTTCTTTCTCAACTCCTCATATCTATGAGGTACATTGAAATTGGGATGTTCCTCTCCCACTCAGCTAGAGAGTACCTCAAGCACATGAATTCGGTTAAATTTCCTCGAGTCTTCAATAACGTGGGCAAACCCTCCCTTTGCATTTATGTCTAAATGGAAATAGCTAAAGTTTGCAGGGATTACAGCCTGAATATCTCCTTTCGAGTCGACAGTATCATATATCTTCTTGTGAGTGCTCCATTCCTCATCATCTTCTGTCAACGCCTTTTTGAAAAATAGCTTCACATCTTCTTCCAAGTCCGACTCTATTGGGATACAATCTATCTGTATGTGAGGGATACTCTCCAAGTCAATAGCTGTTTCTAGGAAGACTACTGATTTACCTTTCTTCCCAAAATGTCCTACTAAGGATAGCTTAAAGCTCCGAATCTCTTGAGCAATATCCTCCTCACATTGATTAGTGGCAGAGTAATGTTCCTTTGGTGAGATTATCAGATGATCTTCACATAAAGTTCCTATCTCAGTTGGAACCCCCAGATAAACTGAGGATGAACTCGCAATCACAAGTTTGCTCTCAAAAATTCTGTTGTTATAATAACAAAACTTGCAATTTGAAAGAATCTTCTGTCTTCTTCTGAAAGCATTCTTTTCTGCCTTTTCATCCTTCTTCATTAATCTTTTTAAGTCTCTCTTCTTGAGTTTATTTACCAATAAACGCACTATCAAACTGGTCGCTTACAACATCATATTGTTTGGACTCTGGGTCACATGACCTGATTTGGAGCATAAGTTTCCTCTTCTCATCAATAAGTTCGTTAACTAGGCCTCCCTTAACTAAAAAATTAGATAATGATCCTTACAAAGCTCTGAATTACTCTGATCCTGATTTAACTGAATATCTTTCTGTGTTTGCTCAATAGCTTTCTCATTTTGAATAAACTGTACTTGCTCAGTCTTAGTTAGAGTCTGATGTAGCTCTTCGTAATCATCAAATTCACACTTATAAAAAGCATCGATTGCTTTATTTCACATCTCATTGATATCAATATCCTCATCTTCTTCTTGGGGCATTATGGGCTCTTCCATTGGTTCATCTGTCTTAGATTCTTCTTTTTCCCATTTTTTAGCTGTACTATACTACAGTAATTATGCGATGTTTTACTTTATTTTTCTTCTGTCCTTCTTTTTCAAGCAGCTGCTTGAGTGCTTGGTCCTCCTGACCCACTTCTCCTCTCTTCTTGACCTTAATACCTGCAAACATATTAAAATTATTTCAAATTAAGCTAATAATTCAGGGGTTTTGGGGTTTTGGGGTTTTGGGG